GCGGCGGGCCGGCCACACTTACCGCCTTGGGCTTGAACGGCGGCTGGACCTCTTTGCGCTCAAGCTTCTCCCAGTCGATGTAGCGGAAGAAGGCGTGCTCCTTGATATCCCGCTCCCCCTCCGGGCCGCAGCCCAGGCGTTTCCCCGGGTGCTTGGTCATTAGCTGAGAGAGAGCAAAAGAAGAGACCGTCGTTGCCAGGGAGCCAAACGGCCAAACAACTCCCCTTCCCCCGTCGGGGCGCACGAGACCTCTTTGCGCTCAAGCTTCTCCCAGTCGATGTAGCGGAAGAAGGCGTGCTCCTTGATATCCCGCTCCCCCTCCGGGCCGCAGCCCAGGCGTTTCCCCGGGTGCTTGGTCATTAGCTGAGAGAGAGCAAAAGAAGAGACCGTCGTTGCCAGGGAGCCAAACGGCCAAACAACTCCCCTTCCCCCGTCGGGGCGCACGAGTCGGCTGAGGCCAGCGCTACGCTGCGGCCCTGCAACCTGGAGTGGAGCCATCGCCCTCCTCACAGAGAGCCCCACGTCCGGGCCCGGCAACGCTCCCCCGGGCACCCCGCTTTGCCGTCCACAGGGCTGGGCTGCTGCCCCTCAGGGACAGAGCGAGTGAGGCCTTGTGGAAAGCCCTAAGCATGAAATGCCCCGCCAAGCCCTCCCCCCGCACGGCTCGGCTCTCCCTGGACAGCCCCGGCGTCAGGAAAAGGAAGCTCCGTACACAGCACACAGGGCCTTGGGCCCCCGCCCCCTCCAGGCTCCATCCCCCCTCACGGCATCCTGCTCCCTGGGAGCGCCCTCGGCGACGCAGGGGCAAGCAGTGCTCTGCTGGGGAAGTGCCAGTGTTCCCTGGAAGCTGAGCGCTTGGGCGGCTACCCCATAGACATTCAAATGCCACCCGGCCGGTTAGCAGCGCGCCCACAGCCGGCAGCATGTGCTTCTGCAGGTGGTGCACTTCCGTACATGCCTTGGTGCACACACACAACACTTATTCCGCACACGGGTGGGAAAAAACCGAGGGAACATTGGCAGGTGGGCACTAGCAGAACCAAGAGGGGGATCCACACGGACGGGACCCCAGCTTAGCTTCCCAGGGCCCTGGCCTGTACACTCAGAGCCTGTCGAAGTCCACGGGCGAGGGGCTGCGCTCATCCCAGGAGGGCTGGGCTGGGGCGGCTGGGCTGAAGTGACATGCAGCAGGTGCCGCCCAAACCGGACAGCAGTCATTCTGGATCGGGCTATGGCCACGAGGGAGAACGAGAACGTGCGACGCTACATAGCACCCCCCGCCAGGTAAGCCACGCCCAGGGCAGAGATGACCAGTCTACGCCAGAAAGTCGCTCCTTGGCATGGGACCAGAGACACGGCTCCAAGACTTAGAATTCGACAGCTATCTGGTTCCAAGAGGAAGGCGCGAGGAGGGATGGACTGTAGCCATCTTAAACGTCTCCTTTTCACAGACCCAAAAGGAAAGCAGAGAAGCGTAACTGAAGCAGGAGAGGCCATGCAGACGTTAATGTCCAGGGGGTTTTGTTTGGGTCGTGTCTGGACACAAGATGCAGCTAGCAGAGGTTTATAGAGTGGTGATAAGCAGGGAGAATACGAGCAGCTTTCCTGCAACCAAGGACTGCTGTGTTAGCAGCTGGCCAGGTAATGAGAACCACACGGGGGGTTGCAAAAGGGCACCACCCTTCCCTCTCGGCACTAGGCCATGCCACATGCCACTGCTCAAATTACTGGGCTCCAGGCAGGAACCACAGGCTCCAACCCCTGGCCAGCGGGGGAGGTCAAATTAGATGATCAAAATCGACCCTTCTGCCCCTGAGATATGCGATCCCATGGCACTTCTTGGAAAGGCTGGGGACCGCGCAGTGGGAAGGGGGTGCGGGCAAGGTCTAGAAAGGTCCAGTGCTCTGCCATCGAATGCCTACACGCCACAGACGCTTAATTCCCCCTCTACAACCACTGGAGACGCTAACACGTCCTCTGAGAACCATTCACCTGTTTTGGTCAGTCGAGTGGTTGCCTCTTGCCATGCTGGCATTTGATTTTCACCTGCAATAGGAGTTGGGTTACACCCAGCCAACACACAAAAAGCTAGATGGCCGCTCTTCTTGCTGAGACCCGGATCCTGCAGACGCTTATGTCCAAGTTTAACGTCCCTGAAGTCAATGGACCCGCCCCTGCAACGTGTGCGTTGGCACGATGAGATCGAAACATCTAGCACCCGGACTCCCACACGTACAATTCAGCAGCGCAAATGCCCAGCGGGATGAGTCACTTGAAATACTGAATTAGCAACGAGCCACGTTTCAGCCACGTGGCTCCCCTGAAGACCTGCAAGCCTACGCGGCGCCCACGGAGTTGGATCAGATGCTGTGGAGGCAGGATGGCAGCAACGCGGCACCCTGCCGAGGAACCGAGGGAGTCTGCTTCTCGTTCAGATTGGACAAAAATCTCCTGGCTCCACACCTCCCTGGGTTTGTCTGGCAACCTTGCTCGCCTTTCAACATCACTCCTGCCACGCAGCAGTCACCGGAGCCCCCCGTCGCCTTCCTCTCACACCAAGGCCCCGTGCGCTCCCCACACAAGCAAATTTACCATTTACAGGGGGCTGGGATTTTCCACTTCACTGACTGGCTCTCCTGTAGTTCTAGCTAATAACTGATATGAGTAGGCTCGGGGGGGGGGAGGGGGTTGTTAGTATGGAACTTTACAAACAAGTGGGTCTGTGGCACTGTGAAGGGGTCACCCTCTCGTTGCCCACCCGTGTGGCCGGCGGCACGTCTCCGCCCCGGCTGGCTGCCAGATGGCTTTCTGGTCGGTTGCTTGGGACCAGCCTTCTTACCCCCTTGCTGTAGCTGCTGGGGGGTTAGGGAGGACCCAGGCCCACCCACTCCTCTGGGTCCTGGCCAGGGACCCTGTAAGTAGCAGTTGCCTACTAGCTGTCTCTGCTGTCTGCTGCTCCCTTGGCTGCTCTGTCCAGCCCTCTCTTTCGGGGCTTTGAGACCAGCCTCTCAGCACACCACGGCCAGGGTTCGGTGAAGTGCTGTAGTGGGTTGTGGCTGGGCTCCTGCGGGTCTCAACCAGGTCTGAAGTTCAGCTACACTCGGAGCTGTCCCAGGTGCTGCTGTCCTCCCAGTCAGTCGCTAGACCTGGCTGGGTCACACTCCAGTGAGGAACTGCCAGGCCCTGGCCCTGCAGCTTCTTTTATACCAGCCTTCTGGGCCCTGATTGGCTGCTGGAGAAGCAGCCACTCTAGTCTGCTTGGAGGACCTATTTTCTGCTCTTCTCCCTGGGGCGGGGTGCGGCAAGGCCTCTAGCCTCCAGCAGGGGGCACTGGGCCTAGTCTACTCCATCACAGGCACCTTAGAGTCTAAAAATACATATATAATCCTGAGCATTCGTGGGCAAAACCCACTTCATCAGATGAACTGGAGTGGAAATAACAGAAACCAAGAGCTATCTATAGCAGGAGAAGTGCCTGTCAATTGTAGGACCCATGTTAATGAGGCTAATTAAGTGGGCTGGATGGGTCCTATTCATAGCTTTTGATGTGAAAATGAGGATGTTAAAGGCAGGAGAAAATGGCTTTGTAATGCATCAACCCCCATAATGTCTTTATTCAAGTGCAGGATAATGGTGTCAAACTCCAAGCCTGTGTCTAGACTGGCAAGTTTTTCCGCAAAATCATCTGCTTTTCTGGAAAAACTTGCCAGCTGTCTACACTGGCCGCTTGAATTTCCACAAAAGCACTGACGATCTCATGTAAGATTGTCAGTGTTCTTGCGGAAATACTGTGCTGCTCCCGTTTGGGCAAAAGTCTTTTTCCGAAAAACTTTTGCGCAAAAGGGCCAGTGTAGACAGCAGAGATTTGTTTTCCGCAAAAAAGCCCCAATCGCGAAAATGGCGATCGGGGCTTTTTTGCGGAAAAGCACGTCTAGATTGGCCAGGGACGCTTTTCCACAAAGTGCTTTTGGGGAAAAGCGTCCATGCCAATCTAGATGCTCTTTTCTGCAAATGCTTTTAACTGAAAACTTTTCCGTTAAAAGCATTTGTGGAAAATCATGAACTCCGGATCTGCAGTCTCTCTTGGGAATGGGTTAGTGAAATGCCTTTTTGAGCGCCTGGGCAGGTGAACTGGTTCCCCTCCACATCTGTGTGTATTCCCATGTCTGGTGTCTGATTTGTGTCCATTTATCCTTTGGCGCAGAGACTGTCCGGTGTGGCCGATACATGACAGAGGGATAGCGGATTTGTTTCCACAGCAAGTATTAGACCGAATGCCGGGTACTACAACTCCAGCTAGCGTTCCCCAATGCATGAACATCAGCAAAACAGTTGATGGGGCTCAAGTTTCTGTAGCTTGGGACACGGGTGTTCCTTCCAGACAGATCTTTGTGTTAAGAGAGACGTTCGATTATTGCAGAGATGGACATTGCACCTACAGCTGTTTGACTGTCAGCGTCTCATATGCAGCAGAACATATATCCAACTTTAAATAGGTTTTACTGGCCAGAATCTTAGTTTAGCTGCTGGTTTCTTTTGTGATGGTTGTTTCAAAACACACACACACACACACAAACATCAGGACAATGTAGCACTTTAAAGACTAACAAGATGGTTTATTAGATGATGAGCTTTCGTGGGCCAGACCCACTTCCTCAGATCCACACAAACATCCACACTCATACGTTTCACTGTTAAACCCCACAATTTCCCAGCGTTAACACAAATCCGCACCGCATTCTGCACAGCTCCCCCTCAGTAATCAATTACAACAGATTCATTTTCTACTCGAGGTACCTGTCTGCACGGCTGCACTGCAGGGCCAATACCGTGGTGCAGCTATTCTCCTGTATCGCTGGCACGTGCCCCCAGAAACGAAATCTTTGTGCTTGTATTCGCGTGAGCATGAAGGCACCATCTGCTATGGTTCGACAGAAGCCCATGAAGCCTACAGATTGATTCTCCCGGCTTGCAGAAGGGACTCGTTTGCCATTGTTTGTATCACATAGGAACAAGTTCTACACTAATGCCGGGAAGACAACACAACACTGTACGAAGAGGCCTGCATGAGCCCAGCCCATGTTCAACGCCAATACTACATTTCAAGAGTTACCATAAATGAGCGTATATAACCGGCGGGTTATACACGTTTTTACAAACACCGCCCTCGCCCCCCGCAGGGTATACATGTCCGCACGGTATACAAGTTTATTTTTACCCATTAGAATTGGGTGAGCGCCGATCCGCTGCAGGGAGGGCTCCCCTCCTGCAGGCCGGCCAGCTTGCCTGCGCTGCACTCTCCATTCCCCTGCCCGGAGGAGGGTGGGTTGCACCTGGCTGCGGCTGCGCAGGGCCTGGGCGCA